AAATCACGCAGCCATGCAATGAACACAAAGCGAACTATTCTTTCGCCTTTTACTAAAGAATACCGTGTGTTCGTTATATAAAGTGGCATACGCTTATTTTTGGAGAGGTGTTCCATTTTGTGAATACCTCCTACAATTTACAGTTAAAATTATTATGGTTTTAGAAAACGTTTCTTCTTGGGTAAGTGTTCTATGAACGAGCCCTAAATGTTTACCTCAACTGTTATCCAGAATAAAAATGCCGTCTAAAAAGGAAGAATATAAAAACTATCAGTAGTCGTAAGATCGAGGAACCAAGATATCCCCCCGTGGGTTGCAGCACCACTCTTTCCAAGAAAAATTAAAAACTTTTAGCTCGATTCAATAACTACCGATATGATAAAAGTGGGACGTCGAACGCCAAATCCAATTGTGGAGGGACTCGATCTGAAAATACAATTTGTTGCCATAAGCCCAAATCACGTACAAAGCAATCCATAGTACCGCCTTCCATATGATTTTTGTAGAAGGAGAAAACTCGGAATGATCTTCAAGAAAAAAGACGTCCATATGATAGAAACAAAAGAGATGATTGCAAACCAGAAGCATGACGGATGGATAACGGTAAATGAAACAACCGCTGGAAAATGTTTCTCTCAGAAGCATCCCACATCACTTGACTAAACAAAATAGCCAAACACTAGACTGTGATAAAAACCAAGGCATAAGCCAGATAAAAGCATACCTTTCTCGGCCTTTTGGCTAAGATCAAGTGTAGTATCTGTTCTTATCAGTTTAATATCTGATATGTGAGCCATTGGTTCACTCGATATTAATCTTATTTTTTATGGAGAAAGATTCACCACAATAGCTTGCTATTGGGATCTTTGAGAGTTGCCTTGGTGTTGCACTATTGCCTTGGCCTGGCTCACCCCTCCGATCCTACTTTAAAAAATTCTTATTCTTCTTTATTGCCATCTGTTTGAGCTGCAATTCAACACAGTTAAGGGGTTAAAGGAAACATTGAACATTGTTAAAATCTCATTTGTTAGAGTTTGCTTGATGTTTTGTGGCAATATATTCGAGCCAGTTACATAATTTATACAGGCCCAGAGTCGCTTGAAACCTGGAATGCTCAGTGTAGTTGATCGGAGGATCAGAATAGTTGACAGATAACACATACACGAGGGACTTTGACATTCAAACAAATCATCTAAACGTTGTTGAACCGTCAATCATCGATATGTTAACAAACATGAGAAAATGCAGAATGAGTAAAAGGACATCAGAGACATAAGGAGGGGGAAGTTAATAACTAATCTAACTTGCAAATCTTGCCTCCTTATTTGCCAAACCAATCTGTTGAAATGTTATATTAGCTCCCATGTTTTAGCTCGTTTTCTTTGCTTTCTAAACAATCCACCCCTGCAGAATACATATAAACTATTATCGTGTATGTAATCATAGGTGCAAAAATATATGTGAAAATAGATGAATACTGACCATGAAATTGTTGTTGTATACTCGGACTATTATCAACCACGGAACATGAAAGGGCTTGGTGGATATGAGACTTTGAGTAATCAGTGTCAAATTGATTGATTCCCCTTCTTTGGTATGAAATAGAGACATCCCATATCTTCTTAGTGACTAAAAGCAGAGACAAGAGAAACGGGGATAAATTGTGAGGCCCCATTAGAGAGTAGGCATACCTATCTCGGCCTTTTGGCTAAGATCAAGTGTAGTATCTGTTCTTATCAGTTTACTATCTGATGTGTAGGCCATTGGCCTACTCGATATTAATCTTATTTTTTATGGGAAAGACTCATTACAATAGCTTGTTATTGGGTCTTTGTGAGTCGTATTGGCTCACCCCTTCTTCGATCTGATGTTAAGAAAGTTGCTAAACTGGCTTCACGGAATTCTTCAAAAAGATAATATAACACCTTAAGAATGGAAAAGGTTTCATATGCTAGCTGAAAGAAGTTCATTTAGATGCCTCCCACATTAAGAATGGAAAAGGTTTCATATCCATTTTTCATTATCTATAAAAATAGCATTCTTGCTTAAACTGATATTAAACTCATTAAGCTCCTAATAAACAAACCCTTAATCCATTTTGAGATGTTTATGAGATTTCATTGAAATCCAGTGATTTCAATTTCAAACTTTTATTTAAACCAAACGTGAGACTGGAATGGAAATTCCACCAACTCCCGATGAGAGTGCTTGGTTGAGGCGGGTGAGGAATGGAATGAGAAGGAAATGTTATCTCTTCTTGTTTGTGTGTAAATTTGACAGCTTCTTCTCATATTTGCAACAACTTTGGTATTGTTTTTTCTCTGTTTTCAAGCTATAACTTGAGGAAATTGTTTTTTTTGGTAACCGTGGCTTTCTCGGTTGGCTTACGCATACCGACTAATCCTCCGGACGAACTCGGGTTAGATGAGATTTTCCACTACCTCCGTTGAGACTTAACCAGTACACCACAAGTCAAGTGGAAATTATCTTGCAATTAGAAACAATGGTTTTTCTATATTTATAAAACTAGGAAAATATTAACCATCACTGTTCAACTGGTTTATGAGTGTGAAATGAAGTGCAAAAGATGAAAGGTTCAGGGGAAAACCTCCAAAAATGAAATATTGAGGAACACTCTGGTAACCATTTATCAGGACGGCATGTGCATATGCATACAACTAATTGAAGTTGTTTTTTGGTTCTTATGCACATGTGCATACCGTCCAGATGAACGGTTACGAAGTGTTCCTCAGTTTTTCATTTTTTTAATAGTTTTCCTCTTAGGCCTGAACCTGACCCTATATGTATGTATGTATGTATGTATGATGCGGATAAAACATGTTGTACCCTCTAAATAGACAAGAAGAATCATGCCAATAGCAACAATCTCGCCATGGAGCTGAACATGGTGTTGTGCAGAAGTTAGAAAGCTACTTATTACTTATTGCAATAAGGAACACGGAAAAGTGCGTACTCTGAGAATACCCTTCGGCATTTTTGCCTGACCTTCAGCTACAGTTGATGGACTCATACCCTGAAAAGGAACTGACAAGGTTCTAATCACGACAGTTTACTTTTTTACTGTCAAAGGCTTAAGAAGGATGGATAAATGGGATTCATAGCACTGATTTGTTGTGGACTTGCAGCTTACCCACATCGCAATATGAATGCAACTGTGGAGGTAGAAGCAGATGCATAAAGAAGGTGCTTAACAAGGTTTTATAATCACGCAGTCATGCAATGAACACAAAGCGAACTATTCTTTCGCCTTTTACTAAAGAATACCGTGTGTTCGTTGTATAAAGTGGCATACGCTTATTTTTGGAGAGGTGTTCACTCTGTGAATACCTCCTACAATTTACAGTTTCAATATTATAGTTTCAGAAAACGTTTCTTATTGTTTACTATCTAACCGAGCTTCTATTTCATTCTGTGCTAGACCGATCCATATACCACTAATGAAGTCTTACCAGAATATGCCCAGAAAAAAACACCTTTTTTCACTCTGATTGCGAACTTTGGGTGAGGGTTGTTTAGAAAATGCTTACCGACAAAAGTTATCACTCTCATTTACCTAACCAATAACATTCTTAGTCATCAAAACTTGGCTAGTCGCTTACTCTGGCCTGGTTCCTTACTTTCTTCAATAGCTGTGAAATCCCGCTTCATGTCCATGTTTGCTAGACGTCATAGCCAACCTGAACGGTTACTCGTACTGCTCTTCTTAGGTAGATTGGAAAAAGATATGGATGAAAGGTCCCACTGAATCAAATTGTCTCCAATAATTTATGAAAAGGTGAGAATTCAGATCCACATATAAGTTAACCTTTAGGTTTGTTTACTTTATAGGTGTCTTGTTACTTGTTAGGGTGTATTAGCTCTCCATTTCATCCCACATTGGTGTCGAAATGAGATATGAAGTTGGAGCAAAGGTTATTTAAGAAGGGTGTGGTCGAACTTTGTACATACTTACCTGGACAGGATCAATGGGTGATCAAAAAGGCCTATGGTCTAGGTTGGTGACCTCCATTGCACTTTGAAGGGGTGCTCGCCTAAGGTCGGCCCAAGTGGTCGAACCTATGTCATAATTTGTGGCAGTGGGGGTTTGCGTTCGCGCAGCCCCTACCCAATTTCTTAGTCTTTAACAACTTTATCTCTTTCTATCACATCTATTGTCCTTGTTGATAAAGTGGATAAAAGTAAGTATTTATCTGATAATAGTTTGACTTGTAGTCGGTTTTGTTTCTCGTTGCATTGCTTGTGCAGCAACGTGCTTTTTTAAGCCTTCGAAGTAGGGGAATCCAGGTTGCGATTGACTGGTTGCATTTGCTGGTGGGGGAGGTACTATTATGAACTTCTTCATGTTCGGTCTTTTTATAACTGAATCAATGGAAAATAAGATGTCAATTACACAAATGAGAGATGGGAGGGGTATGTTTGGAAAAAACTTGGTTTTCTACATATAACTCCTCCTTAGAAGATTACTGAATGAGCCATTTCGATATTATTAAGCCACTACCAACATTCATGTACAGGTTACCAAATGAGTTGCGTTTAAACTCATTAACCTCTTAATAAACAAACCCTTAATCCATTTTGAGATGTTTATGCGATTTCATTGAAATCCAGTGATTTCAATTTCAAACTTTTATTTAAACCAAACGTGAGACTGGAATGGAAATCCCACCAACTCCCGATGACAGTGCTTGGTTGAGGCGGGTGAGGAATGGAATGAAAAGGAAATGTTATCTCTTCTTGTTTGTGTGTGAATTTGATAGCTTCTTCTCATATTTGCAATATGAATATAAGATTTTGCAACAACTTTGGTATTGTTTTTTCTCCGTTTTCACTATAATTTGAGGAAATTGTTTTTGTGGTAACCGTGGGTTTCTCGGTTGGCTTACGCGCACCGACTAATCCTCCGCACGACTACAAATAGCCTTTAATCATCGCATATGGACCTCCATGGCCACAAACGTTTCGGGACCGTCTAGATTCGAACTCGGGTTAGATGAGATTTTCCACTACCTCCTTTCAGACTTAACCAGTACACCACAAGTCAAGTTGAAATTATCTTCCTTTTCCAAAAAAAAAAAGTTGAAATTATCTTGCAATCAGAAACAATGGTTTTTCTATAATTTTAAAACTAGGAAAATGTTAACTACCACAGTTTTACATAGTTGTTGGAGCAAGATAATTTCCAAATGTATACGTTAAACGGTTAAAGAGTACGTCTTGGAGATGCTCTAGGGTTGTAGAAGTTCCATCTCATCCCACATTGGTGTTAGAATGAAACATGAAGCCAGAGCAACGGTTATTTAAGGAGGATGTTGTCAAACTTCTTACATACTTACCTGGACGGGATCAATGGGTGATCAAAAAGGCCTATGGTCTAGGTTGGTGACCTCCATTGCACTTTGGAGGGGTACCCGCCTAAGGTCGACCCAAGTGGTCGAGCCTACGTCATAATTTGTGACAGTGGGGGCTTGCGTTCGCGCAGCCCCTTCCCAATTTCTAAGTCTTTAACAACTATCTTTTTTGATTAATTAACGTTCACTGATGTGTCTTTCACAAATGGCACCTCATCAAATGTTCATTTATCAAGTGCTTTCCAACAAAAGTAATTATCTTTACTTACCTTGTCGGGTAACATTATCAAAATAGATTGTGATAAGGTCTTTTACTCAGTAAAACGCTTACCGATAAGATTCTCACATACCAGGCTAGATTCTTAGGGGCTGTTTGTTTACCTCTTAATAGTTCCATTAAGAGACAATCTCTGAATCATTAAGAGGTGAATCTTGTTTGACAAAAAAAAAAGTCTGCCTCTTAATGGTTCTAAAACTCTCTGAATGATTTTGTATCCCGAGTCTATCTTAACCATTAAGAGACCTAATTTCATTGTAAACAATTACTAAATAATTATATTTCATTTTCCACTATATCATGAAAGCCTCTTAATCATTCTGACCACTTAATTTTGCACAAAACCATTCAGCAACTGTCAAACAGCCCCATAGTCCTTATCACATCTTTTACCGAGTAAGAATCTTAGTCCTTGCAATGTTTACAGGTAAGATGACATTCGGTAAGCGCTTACCCAGTAAGAGATCAATATAAACAACCCCTGTTTACAATAATGTAAGACAATACTCATAAGAAAAGGAACTTGTGGGACAACAAAATAAAATGAAAACATAAAAAAACAGCATGTTTACATGGTAAAACCATCTTGTGGCTGTAATTAACTTCCTAATTTCCTACACTCCCTCTTCCCTCTAACAAGCAAAATAGTAAACATTACATCATGAAAAGTGTTTTTGTAAACCAATCCTCAAATTTTACTATCTCTTGTGTTCATATATAATGTCAAAAAGATATATATGATGATAAGTTATTGCATTTATTCAAATGGGAATTATTTGCTAAATCCCCATCATGATTCAAAACCTTCCATCAATCACATTTTGCAATTGCATGCTCACCTCCTCTTGTTCTTCTTTCTTCCCTTCACTTCTTTCTCTAGATTTTTGATCCTGTGGCTGAGGACTGATGATGAAGATACTTTTCCATTTGTATATTTGTTTTCTTCTGAACTTGGCTTATTATGACTCAGAAGTGGTGTTGAGGTTGTACTTTGACTTGTGGTAGTCGGTTTTGGTTCATGTTGTTTCATTGCTTGCGCAGCGGCGTACTTTTTTAGGCCTTCGAAGAAGGAGAATGCCGGTTGCGATTGACTGGTGGCAGATGGTGGTGGAGGTACTATTATGGGTATGTTCAACAACTTCTTCACGTTCGGTCTTTTAATAACTGAATCAATGGAAAATAAGATGTTAATTACACAAATGAGAGATGGGTGTGCATATAAATCCTCAAATTCCGTCTTTATTGGTCTAAAACTATAAATAGAAATTCAATCCCAAGTAAGTTTTGAAGAAACAACTGAAGGGTCCGTTTGCTTAGCAGCGCAATAGGCTTAATGGGACTCGCAGCTTATTCGGTCAGCTATATGACTGTTTGGTAGTGGGTTATTCAGTAAGTTTCTAAGGGGCGCTTTATGCAGAAAGACAAGTTTTTTTTCCAAACATGGCCCTACCAATTAAAAAGCATGCTTCTTCCATCTATGAAAAAACTCTACCAAACAAAAACCTTATCTACACAAACAGATTAATAACACAAATAAGTGACTGGAATACCAACCAAACAACCCCTACGAGAAAAGAAAAATAAAAGATGGGTGTGTATATTAACTTCTTGAAGTCCATTCAAGTTGACTGAAAATTTGCTACAAGTAGAAATAAAATGATACTCCCACCGTACCAAAATAAGTGTCCACTTGAAAAAATAAATGTCTATTTTCTCATTCTACCCTTGATTATGGGACAGAGAAAACTTCTCTCTCCATTATCAAGGGTAAAAGTATCATTGAGTTAATTAAAAAGCGTCATAATTACACAATCCTAAAACTGTTTGCCATTTTCATTGTGGACATTTATTTTGAAGGGAGAATGAGTTGACGACTTTAGCAATTTCGAAGTTATTTGAGTAACTTACTTAGACCATATACAAGGGAGAACAGGTTGGAGGTGATCCAATAACAAAAGAGAGCCTGCACAAACGTCAAAAAGGGTCTTTGATTAACAACCAAACATGTTCACATATTATGCTACAAAAGTTTGGGATGCCCGAAAATGCAAATCGTTGCAATTTTCATGGATCAGCAAGAGTAACATCTACGGCAATTCAAAGTACATCGATGTCTAGTTTCGTAATCAAGAAGTTGTGATATGTACCTTTGGGAAGTTTGCAGTAAGGGGAACTGTAAGAGCAGCAAAACCCCTTGAAACATTCTTCATTGTGTTAGCAGCGGGATTACCTTCCAAACCTTCTTGCATGTTAAACTGAGGAATACAATATACGGGTACTGTAAAGGCGGCAATTCTGATTACAAATAAATTGATACTAGAAACTAGTTATCCTTGTGTGCAATGTCAGCAACTCAGTGCGAGTGAACAATCAACAAAATTCATACCGTATGAGTCATGTTTTGTTGAGTTATCCATGTGACATGCATCAAATACAGAAATACTCAAAATACTTGTAGGGAATTTAGGACATGTTTGTTAGCAGTTTAATGAGCTTAGCGGGACTCACAGCTTATTCGGTCAATTATACATGACTGTTTGGTAGTGGCTTAATGATATAGAAAGTGGCCTATTCATTAAGCTTCTAGGGGGGAGCTTTATGCAGAAAGCCAAGGTTTTTTTCAAAACCTGCCCCTCCCAATTCAAAAACACGCTCCTTCATCTATGAAAAAACCCTCCCAAACAAAAACTTCCAATCTATCAAACAAATCAATCCACATAGAGCTTTATCCATACAGGAATTAATGGAAAACCAACCATCCTGAGATGATGCTTGTGAAATCCCTATAATCACATAGAATACAGGGTCGACCTAAGGTGGCTAGTAGCACTACTTGTCTTCCACGAGCATTATTAATTTTCTGGACTTTAACGAATTAGATTTCACCCGAATCTAACAAATATATGCTGGGAAAAGAGGGAGTAAATAGATAGAGTGGAGGCTCGATTAATTATGAATTGATTTCCAAACGTCATGGAAGACAGAATGTATTTCTTCTCTGATACAATGACATTTTATGATAGACAATAAATAAGTGGTGTAGTTTAGAAGAAGAGACTAAATGTTTACCTCTACAGTTATCCAGAATGAAAATGCCGTCAAAAAAGGAAGAATATAAAAACTATCAGCCGTTGTAAGATCGAGGAACCAAGATATACCGCCGGTTTTAAAAGATGGAACCTTTTCCACCATGTTCTGAATCTGCAAATGATGACATATAGTTACTAACAGTTGCATTTAATTGTATAAGAATGGCATCTTTACCAAAAAAAGTATAGGAACAGCACATTCATAAAATGTATCATCTTTAACATTATTAATGGATACGATGCAAAATCAAGATTATCAACTGATTGGAGCAGCCATTATGGATATAATATTTTTAAACTTACAGCGAGGAAAAAGCTGACAAAGACAGGGCCTTGAATGAAAAGCCCCTTCAATGGAGTAAATGTACTAACACCATGCCTGCAGAAATATTAAAGTTCAATAATATTAGAATTATTTTAAGCACGTATATAATCATTTAAAACTAGAGGAAGGACAAAAGGCTAATGAATAGTTGATCACCAATTTCATAGACAAACTATGACTTTTTAACACCTACCACCATATTTCAATTAGGGTTGATTCCATTGTAGTTCAACACCATTATTTTTCTTTGTGGGCATCCTCGAAAGATGTCCAAGGTTCAAACCTGGGCACCACCACTTACTGCTCACTAGCAGCGATTGACCTCCCCCCATGATGGCCGTGGAGCCGGTGCGGTGAGGGCGCTCCAGAGGATGGCAGTCCCCCCCCAGAACCTATATATATATATATATATATATAGAGAGAGAGAGAGAGAGAGAGAGAGGTTCAGGGGAAAACCCCCAAAAATAAAATACTAAGGAACACCCTGGTAACTATTCATGAGGACGGAATGCGCATGTGCATACAAGTAATTGAAGTTGTTTCTTGGTTCTTATGCACATGTGCATACCGTCCAGATGAACGGTTACCAGAGTGTTCCTCAATTTTTCCTTTTTTTTTTGTAGTTTTCCTCTGAGGCCTGAACCTGACCCTGTATGTATATACGTATGTATGTATGTATGATGCGGGTAAAACATGTTGTACCCTCTAAATAGACAAGAAGAATCATGCCCAACAGCAACAATCTCGCCATGGAGCTTAACATGGTGTTGTGCAGAAGTTAGAAAGCTACTTATTACTTATTGCAATAAGGAACATGGAAAAGTGCTTACTCCGAGAATACCCTCTTCATTTTTGCCTGACCTTCAGCTACAGCTGATGGACTCATACCCTGAAAAGGATATTTTGAAAACAGAAATAACTAAGAAGTTTCACCTTTTTAAAAGGTTGAGCATTTCTACTTTAATTTATAAGAAATCAACTGGCAACATTTTAATAAACAAAAATTGGGAGCACATAAATGAAGACCTTCCTTAGCCTTCTATTTACATCAACAACCAATCGTGCTCAAAAATCATATAAACAAACTGGTATGGTGTTACAATATAGCTTTTGGTTGGCCAGCTAGCAAATAAGCAAACAATAGCTGAACAGTTCAAAGTTTGTGCATGACAGAGGAGAGCCAAGAACAAAAATCAAAAAAAAATTCTCTGTATTTTTCTCGCATTCTTTTGATGACTATCGATGGTGAATTGCTGAAAACGAAGCACAAGTGATCGAAATTAACAACGGTGCCATGGGTAGGACTTAACACTAAAGTTCTAAAGACTGATGCACATGCTGGCTTAAAGATGAACTTTTAACTGGTCAGTGGGATTTTGACTATATAACATTATTGAAGAAGTTTGACGCACATACCTTATCTTGCATCTCCTGCTTAATCTGCTCCAATTCTGGTCTCAAAATCTGCGTAAAATATGAAAGATGTGAACAAAGCAATGCTACTTTTGAACAGACTATTGGAAAAAACATACTCAACTTAAGAAGCAATGACAATCAATCACAGAACAACGAATATACATACTGAATTTCTGAAGAAATCACTAGTCACTAAAGCCAAATAGGAGTAAGGTCTAAAGCAGTGACAAGTGATGTTTATTGACCACCCAATGACCGTACCCCATTAGTTTAACAATTTGTATGCACATGGCTGAGAATGGCATCATTTGCATATGCTAAACAATAATGATGAAGATGCCTCTTCCTAAGTTTTAAGTCGACTCACAGTAGTACATCATTGCTGGATAAACGGATAAGAAGGCAATTAAAAGAGAGGACAATACCACAGCTAACCAGAAATCTTACAACTAAACCCATGACGATAAATAGACAGGAAGACAGAGAAGGGGGAGAAATTTTTTTGCAACTATACAGTTTGTACATTTTATCATACTTTAAAAATTCACATATCACATTATACAAGTCAAGATAGTGACATATACATATACGAAAACCAAATCTTATAAAATTGGCTTTTGAACTGTAAAAGTAGATTCCAGTCCCAGAGAAAGATTGCAACATGTTGCCGCCAAACGAGCAAAGAAATAAATATGCATGTTGCCGCCAAATGAGCAAAGAAATAAATATGTTATGCAGAGTGTTAATTGGTAAATGAAAGGCGGATAGAGTAGAACTCACTGTTAGCTTGGAGGTCGCCTTCAGCTGATTAATCATGATTGGAATTGACAAGGTTCTAATCACGACAGTTGTTATTATTATGCTTGTCCACCTGACAAAAAAGAAAAGAAAAGTATTCCTTCACTATATATGTCACCAAAAGAGTACATAAAATATAGAACATAATTTGGTCATGGAATTGTAAGAAAAACTTTCAACTTAGTATTGACATCCCATTCCACATATGATAAATGGCATACAAACTATGAGCCACCAGATACCTCTGTCCTTGAAGCCTTTTACTTTAAGATAGGAAACTATAGCATCAGCTAAGATTCCATAGGAGTTCCCGAAAAGTGTTCTAATAGAGCCACAAAGAGAATGGGATTTAGTTAAAATGGTTTTCCAGGTTTCGTTCCTTGCAACATCAACGTATTCTAGATCTACTATTTTCACCTAAATGTTTCACTATATCTAGGTGAATCGGGAAAGCTTAGATTGAGAGAAACAAAATATCATAAAAAGTCGAAAAGAATGCCATACTATATGGTGATATACTTGCATATATGACTCATTTATGATAGTTGCTCATAAAAAAGCTCTTACAAAAGGAGACACATACACCCCATCTAGCTTGGTCATCCTGCTCAGAAATCACAATCTGACAGAAACACCTTAAAAATGCAGAACAAAGAACTATAGAAACTTACTATAAGCTTCATAAATGTGGCAGATGATGATGCTAGCCAGACAAGAGCATAATGGTCTATCAATCAAACGGTTTGACTGGTTCCTACAAAGTTCTACTACTTCCTATTATTAATCAAGCTCACTATTAAATTGGTGTTTTTAATTGATCGCTCATGATAAGATGCACCAAGTATTTAGCAAATTAGCATTGAAGTTTCATTACGAAGCAACACTGTTTGTAATTTAAGTTCCTTGAAGGTTGAACTAAAAATTTATTTTTCACTATCCTTCCAATCTTCCATTAGCAATGAGCCAAAGTCCAACTGAACTCAGTTGAAGCCCTGCATAACCTTGAAAGGCTCCACATTGATTTTACTACCTCAATCGATGCTCCCATTCCGAGTCCATAAACAATAACAGTACATGTTATTTGTTTATGGTCTGATGAGCTTAATTGCTTCTTCATTCAGCCATATAAGGGTATTTTTAAGCCACCCCAGTTAGCCTTTCCACATTAAGGCACCAGTTTTTCTAATTCTACCATTTGACATAAAAAGGTAAATATATTAACAGCTAAATTATGAATATGTTATCATTGATAGACTAAACATATATTGACATTTATTCAGCACTTCGGTTTGCAAATGTCGTTGTAACTAAACAAAACATCCATGCTCCCTCTGTTTTTTTGGCCTACTATTACTTTAAATCAATTTGATCAATAATGTGATGCAAAAAGATTATGTGAAAACTGTAAAAGAAAAAATAGAACTTACAATATTACTTCAATACAAGTTCAATGTTTGAAGTAAAAGAAAACAATCTATAAAGAAATGAGAAAGGAATTAATAATTCATAAATTGATATTTTTGTAATTGATTTAGAACATTTATCAAGCAATCATTTTCCATTCATCACTTAACCAAACAGGAGGTTAAAATGGTGATTTTTGTAGTTCAAATTGTGTATTCAGCATAGAAAACAAACTACAATCAATCATTTATCATATACAAGAGTTTCTAGAGTTTCATCCGGGCTGGTCTTGATAGAAAAAAGAAACAAACAGCCCAGATAACTTAGAAAAGCGTTCACCCGTATGCTTAAAGTTCACACTTTTCCTCAGTTTAATTTGAATTTTCTTCCTCCTAACACGTCCACTGATCCACTGATGCTATAATAAATACTGTAGACCAAAATATAAATGATCCATATAAGCATGTAGATACCACACTTTCAGAAGACATCAATAGTGGAGCAAATTTTTACTACAAATCATACAAGTGCAAGTTTTAAAGATATCTCCTTACCAGTTCATTCCAGTAAAGTTATGAATCCCGTCAATAGCATATTGTAATGCTGCAACTGGTAGCCAAGAATCCGCAGCAGCAACAGCAACTTCACTAACAGCAGGGGCTTGAGTGGACACAACTTCCATCGTTTTATCAGCTAGAATATCAGCCACATCGGCCATGTACTCGATCTTCTCCGCCCCAGATCCATCTCCAATAGTAGTGGACATATTTCTAGATAACAAAAATCCACTTGTTGTCATCGGTACATGAAGAAATTGAGACCATCTTGGATCTCGAAAACTGCCACTGCCACCGCCTCCGCCAAATCCTAACGAAGTTTTGGTGGTGTTACCGACGCAACTAAATGATCTACTACTTTGGAGAGCGCTCCAAATTTTCTCATCCGAATATTGATTTTTACGATCGTCTTCGTGATGAACATAAGAAAACGAGGGGGCAAATCGTTGTTGAGAGAAAAGTCTCGTCTTTGTAGCGAGACTACGCCTGTAAGCCATAGATTTGTTCCCTGGATCGAGATTCAGACAAGTATCGAATTCAGATTAAAACACGAAATATGCATGAAATTTATAGAAACATGACGTGATTCAATGCGATTTGTAGAGATATGAAAGAATTGAAGAGACTTACAGTTATGATGACGATGAGAAGGGTTTAGGGTTTAAAATTGGAACCAACCCGGCTGGCTTCAACCTACCTCCGTAACCTCTTTCGTTTCGTGTATAAAAGATGATTAATTGCAAAGAAGCCCTTCGAGTTTACTCCCCGTTACAATAGGATCAGGAATTACATTATTGCATCTTTTATCATCTCCAAATTCCAATAGATTTCTCAAATTTTCTTTAGAGTGAAAAACTAAAGGTCGAAATCTTTAATAAAAAAAAGTTGCATTCGTCTCTAACAGCTTCTCCAACATGGAGAGAATAGGATTTTGAGTCAATATTTTGCTCAAACAGCTTTCTCAAAACTATCTATAAAATGGAGTAAGTATGAGAGATAAGGGTTTTTCTCCAAATATGAAGAACAACCTAACAACGATTAGTGATTACCAGGTGAAACTGCCAGTATGAAACTTTGACGGTAAATTTTTTGAGAGAGAAATAATGTTTTAATAGATGAATGAAATATTTTAATATTACAATTAGTGATAGCTAAAATCCGGTCCCGGGTCAGAATAGTGATGCTCATAACCGGTCCAGGTCATCAAACTCAAATCCGTTTAATTTGATCCATAACCGGTTATAGGTTACCGGGGTTAGCCCTGTTGTACTATTTCACCCTTGTACTACCCCTGTTGGTCCCGAGGAACGAAGGAGGCTGGGTTAGCCGATAAAATTTTTGTTCTCGTCAAAGACCTTCCAGCCTAGTGGTAAAGGCTTGGGCATGACATAGTCATGAACCCGAGTTCGAGCCATGGGAGAGGAGTGTTGGCGACATTTAAGTGAGGCCATGTTTAGCCTCCAAATTTGCGGGGGATTAGTCGGGCTTTGGCCCGGACACCCTTAAAAAAAATTTGTTCTCTTAAACATATTCTCTATATTTTTATTCAAAAAGAAAAAAGAAATAGAAAATTTCAAGTTTAAAGAATTATCTCAAATTTGATGTAATAAACGAGAAAAATAATTTCTTGTTAATTATAAAACTATATTATTTTATATATTTTTAATAAATTTATTGGAATGATAAAATTATAGAATATCTTAATTTATTTATTGGAGTGAAATTTATATATTTTTCAAATATTTTAACTTTTGATTCTTTAATTTAGAGAAATCTCAAAGAGTGTTAGAAGATGTTTTTCTTCTTCGAGTTTATTCACAGTTGCCATGATGACGCCGTTAAATCATTGCTTAAATGACCAGACAATTGGAAATGCAGTTTTATTTTCTTTTTAAATATTTGAAAATAAAATAATCATTTTAATGAATTTATACAAGTATCTAAAACATTTGGACTAATATGTTTAATAAGGTCAATGACTTATTTGTTCAATTATCAAGTAGTTTAAGTTTTTTACGTAAAATTTGAGCAAGTGTTGAAAATAATTAATTCGTTACGGCAATATGTTTGTTGTTCACGTTGGATGAACTAGTTTTATACATGTCCTAATAAGAAGAAAAAACAGGTAATTCTTAACTGTTTACTTCGTAACATTGCATGTTTTATACCATCATTTGTTGTCATAGCTGTCGGTCTTGCCGATTCTCCTTTCTAACTTCTATTTTCAAATGTGATGCATTCATATTTCGTTAACAATACCAACCATAGTTTTTATGCGAAATGTATAATAAGGGGGCGTTTAGTTCGCAAAATGATTTCTGAAAGAATGAAATCTGTTAAAGGAATTGGAATCTGGAAGAAATTTCCCTCTTCTTCCCCATCGCAATACCATGAACATTACCCTCTTTTTTCCTACTTATTCCCCTTGTGAACATTTGATGTAGTTCCATCAACGGTTCCATTAAGAGAAAAACAAATCCATAAAAACAGTTCGAGAAACAAAGCCATAATTGAGAATCGACAGGCGCAGACAAACGCAAACTTGTTAATATTTGATGTGGTTTTAAACAAACCCGGAATCAACATATGCAAACAAACGCAAAACGTTAGTTGCAGATCGATGTGCTTTCAATCAAAGAAAAAGAGAGCAAACTTGTGAATATATGAAGGAATTGTTTGGAATTCAATTTCATTCCATTAGTAAGTAACCAAACGTCATAATGAAATTTGGTCAACGGAATTGACCATTCCAATTCCATCAAAATCCATCGGAATCCAATGAACCAAACACCCCTAAGAGTGTAATGGAATGGTCTATGTAGAATCCAAAAATCTGGACTTGAAGATAAGGTATAACCAAAGACGAACTTTCTAGGTGAATTTCTACAAATTGGACAAGTTGAGTTCAACCTAAGCCACTCGTCTATACAGTCAACATGAAAGTAATGATTACATTCAAGGATTGTCCTTAATGTATCTCTTGGTTCATAGTCAGAAAGACATATCGGACACGTGTCATCATCCTTGGGCAGTCTACGGCTTTCTCCAAGCACCGTCTTTGTGTAAGACTCGATTGTGGGCAAATCTAAGCCTCCAGAGGAACATGGTCGTGGAGAGATTGTGATAGAGAATATATCAATGTTTTGGTGTCGACTTCGATTAAAGTCCCTTGCTTTGGTCGCAGTGTAGCATACGATTCCAATTATGCATATTAACATCGATACACCAATGCCTATGCTCAAACCATACCTAGCACTCCTTTGAACCCCTACATATGGAAAAATCAACAATCAATCGACAGTAATCGAAATAATATTATTCTTGTATTCTGATTTAATCCCTTTTCTAGAATATAGATGAGAAAAACAAACTGGTGAAATCTCGCAAGTTGAAATTCAACCAAATCTTGACAAACTCGAGCTTGCTCATTTTGACTATTCAAGCCAAACACGACCCAAGCATGGCTAGGCTTGACGTCCAATGAAGCCCACATGAGCTAGCATAAGCTCATCGAGGGTCGATGGTTAATTCACGGATTGTGAGTTATAATCTATTTAAAAACATGGGCCCATGAGTTTATTTGACGTAGAAAAATAGTTTATAACCCACAATAATCTATGAAGGCCCAAGGGGTACCATACATCTAATCAACTTATTTTCGTAAATATTTTTTTTATAATATGAAATGTGCACCCGTTAAACTTCGAGGATATTAAAAATATTATAAACATTAACCAAAATACCTAAAAGTCTCTCCAAATTAATCAAAAACCGAACAAGTCCATCAAAATAAACCAAAAAACTTTAAAAGATTTCCCGGAAATGATAGGATTATGCTTAAAACACATCGGACAATTTTGCAAGCCTTGTGCACTCGCTCGAAAAACAATCTTTGATCCCCTGTTGATTAAATCCTAGTATTACCCGTAAATCCTAGTGCATGAGTTTGTTCTTTTTTTTTTTTTTTTGTTAACCTTGGGTGTCCGGGCCAATTTGAACCCACCAATAAAATATTGTGTGTCTTTGTAGGACTCGAACCGGTGACCTCTTTAAGGTATCTTGGTGTGTGCATTTTGTTGCATATAACTATCAAATCACTTATGGTGATATTTTTGGTACATCACGCATAAAAATATGTAGCATGAACAAGAAACTTACCATGGGAAGAACCAAGGCAAGTAGTTTCCCCATCTGACTTCTGCCCACACATTCTACCTTCAGTCTCACAAGATCTACAAAACGGTGTAAACCACATCAACTCCAATTCCTCCCTAACGTCTCCGTACCACCGAATGGGCACTGAAATCATCGCCATATCCTTGCAATTCTCCGGCGTTTCCCCTACCAATCCAGTCCGCACAGCGATCACCGAAAAATTAACGCTGCCAAGGCACGGTAACAGAACGGTCGGAAACATGTAATCCAACTTCTGCAAGGAACAGTTGTAAAACGTATAGCTTCGCACGCTGCTGAAATCGAAAGGTGTGCCGGTTAAACTGAAATCGCGGATCCGTTTCGGCCGGCAGAACTCAGGATCAATGTAGATAATCTGCGAATTGAAGCATAATCATGCGACCTTACGTTTCCGATTCCAAATAAATTAAAACTTTCGTTGAAGACGATTAAAATACCTGTGCAGTATAGGAGATTTTGTTGACGATGTATGATCGAGAGGACGTAAGGTGGAGGATTGTTCGATTTCTTTTGTTACATGAGATATCGAAACCAGGGAATCCGCAGCGGGATGGTTGTCGTCCTCGGATACGAAAAGGAAAACGCACCTGAGGTCCGGTGGAGCTGCAGGAGGCTGGACGGCAGTCATCGGCGCCGGAGATCGATTTTGACAGTAACAAATAGAAGAAAAATGGTAAAGTTATCTTCTCCATGTGGTCGAAGATGCATCATAAGGAAGATTCATACTGTTCACGAATTGTCAAATTGATTCAAACAGTTTCTTCCCCTTCTTGACAAATATGAATTACAAGAATCGTCCCTAGATCTTTATTTGATATTCATATTTAGTCTCTTATCAAAGATGACAGGACAGAAAGGGATAGAGATCCACGTCTCATGTTTAGCATAATTTTTAACTGGAATAGACCTTAACAGAACGGAACAAAGGGGAACAAGCATGTTCCACTCTTACCCTATGGAACAGGATGGAACAAGGTGAGACATACTTATATTTTACCAATATAAACTTAAAATAAAACTTAATTCTCTTCTAAAACATTAAATAGGTCTTTTTTTTACATTTTATTCAGTCTTTAAATTTTATTTATCGTATTTTATGTTTCTTAAACTTTCAATTTACTGTTCACAAAATATTATTTTTATATGGTTTCTATATTTTTATTAATTTATGTAATTTATTATATATTAATAATAAAAAATAATGTAGAAAAGAGATAAAATAAAATTGGAAACTACATAAACTTTTTATTTGGTGTCATTTTAATTGTTTTGACGAAAACTTTCAAATGATATATTTTGTTATAAAAATTAATTGTTCTATTATAATTTAATAAATTACATAAATTAATTAAAATAAACAACTCTTAGGAGTAAATTGGTCATTTACTTGTTCTGTTATGTCCAATTTTATTTTACCAAACATTGAACAACTGTTCTATCATGTTTTGTCTTGTCCTATCTTGTCTAGACACCAAACACACCCTAAGAAGTGTTTCCAGTAGAATTGGAATCCATCAGATTAATTGAAATGTGAAAGAAATTGAATAGAATCCAATAAAGGTTGACCAAACTGAATTGAAGTGAAATCTGCATGTTTGTTTGGAATCAAAGTGAAATAATAAATGATCTTGATCATATAACATTCTCATATATTCTTGCTTAAATCATAAAAACTCTATAATGATAAAATTAACTGGAGGCGGCAACGACGGGGGTGAGGGTGGTGTTCGTTCTCTTTTTTCTATAACCGTGTGTTTTCGTGTTAACTTACACATACCAACTAATCCCCAAGGCAACCACAAATAGCCTGGAGTCATCGCAGGTGAACCCCCATGATCACAAGGGCTTTAGTAGCATCTGGATTTGAACCCGAAGAAGACGAGATCTCCACTACATTCTCAAAGCTTTAACCAGTGCATCACAACCCAAGCGGTTACTTCGGTTACTTCATACTTTAATGACATAAAGAGGTTCATTTAATTACGATGTTTTTTTTTAATTAAAAAAAAAGTATGAAGGACTCAAAAAAGTATTATTTTATTGTTAAAATAAAAATGTATCTTAAATAAAAGTCGAGGGATGGTTTTGATTTAATTCATTCTAACGAATACAAAGATATCCCCAATCTCCTGATTATTTTTTGGGTGGTACTCAATTAATGCATGAGATCTAGATTTATCTTTGAAAGGTCGGCATCATATAAAAAAAATTAAAAATATAAATAAAATAAAATATATTTTGTTCGATTTTCTTATTTCAATAAATTATTCTTAATAGTTTAATTTTTGATATATACACATAAAAAATGTAAATATGTTATATAAATAATAATTTATTATTTATAAAATTATATCAAATTTCATTTCCTTTACAAAATTATTGCACGTTTCTTAATTAGATCAAAGACATATTGTAACGAATGGCTTGTTGGGAGAGTGGAATTAAGAGGTTGTTTATTTATTTTTTAACAGTTTTATAAAGAGGTAATTTTTGAATCTTATTTGGTAAAAAAAAAATGTATGTTAATGGTTCTAAAATTTTCTGAATGATTTTGTATCATAAGTCTCTCTTAATCATTCAATGTCTTAATTTCATTGTAAGCAATTACCAAACAATTATATTTTATTTTGTATTATATCAATTATTTTGACCATTTAATCATTTTGCATCAAACCATTCAGCAACTGTCAAATAGTCCCTAAGTGATTACATAGTTCAGCTTGAAAGCCAATCGATCGAATTCCTGATTGCTTCATTTAAGCACCCAGATATTCCCATTTCAAATAAGATCTTGGGCTCCATCGAAATCTGCCACTCGTTGGACTCTCTTTCTTCTTTCTATAATACAACTGATCGGTAAGGTTAAGATGTTCAAACTGATCCTCTCGCGTTGGAAAAAGGGATCGATTACCTTTCTTAGCTGATAATAGATCTTATATAGTTCTCACTTCCACTTAACAAAAGGAAAGATAAACACCAGTGGCAAAAGTAATGATGATGACTTTCTTCTTCTTCATGGATTTATGTTGCATTCGTGCATGTATGCCTGATCGTAGTCTACAAACCTGCTCCAGTATCCTCGGAACTTTGCTATCCCAATCTCGAGCCATGGTTTCAAATTCTCATTGCCAGTTTGCGTTCATTCCCCACACGAAGAATCATTTTTCATTTATATTAGAACATGTTATGTTTGTATAATTACATAAAGACATGATATATTCTCCAAAATAAAGCTTGCATGAAAAAGTAACGTACTTTAGCTTGATTCTTATTTTGGGTAACGTACTTTGAAAACTTCCATTTTGATACATAAAATGTAAAGTTTTAAACATTTAAATACTCCAGTAACCGGTTGAGGCATTAATTATTTATTCAAATAAATCATAATACATAAAAACTAATATTAGATTAAGATATCAATGTCAGCAAATAATACTGAGTTGGACACCACATCACTCGTCACATCAGTATGGTAACCGGTTAATGCTTCAACCAGTTACCCGAGTACTTAAATGTTTAAAACTTTACACCTTAGTTGTCAAAATGGAAGTTTTGAAAGTACGTTACCCAAAATAAGAATCATTATTAAAGTACGCTATTTTTTCATACAATTTGCCATGTAATATAATAAAAAGTTTAGTATGGTTCTACATATAAATGAAATAAACCATCTATAAAAAATTGTTTTTCTTTGCAAATGGGTTAATTTTTAGTTCCATTGAAAATGAACGTTTTCGTTTTATTTCATGATTGAATAGAGATAAACTTGTTGTTATCTTCTCATTTTTTACGTCTTTTGACATTAATTTACTATCGATTGTAATGTTTACTTATTAATTTATTATCATTTTATGATCGGTGCCAAAAATCTAGATGATAATATACATTTATCTGTAAACGTTAAAAGCATACACGGAGTTGTAAATGTTGATATTCCGTTTGGAAAAAAAAAAAAAGAAGTGAAGCATGATAATATACATTGATTACCATTTGAAAATTTGGGTTTAACGGTAAATCCATGAATTCAGATGATTGGGATACATTTACCACTCAGTAGTATCAAAAGATTTTCAAAAGCAAATAATTCATCTGAACTATAACATACATGATAGACCTATAACGTATATCATCATTCACTTCGCAAGATAGGTTGTATTAAATTGTAATTAGAAGCTTGTTATTTTACAAAAAAAAATTAAATTAAATTAAATTTTTGTTACATAAACGTATTATTTTTACAAGAAGGGTACTCGCGTAATGCAGCGAGATACGTCTTTATTTTAATGTTTCGTTATATTTTTTGTCTCTATTGATACATAATATGGTTTATGTGGTTTTGATAAAGATAATGTTTTTAATTTCGAATAAAAATAAATTTGAAGATATCATAAAAATTTGAAAAAAATATATCGATATTAATATCAAATTAACTATTTAAAAATTCTCGTTTTTTTATACAATTTATTTAATTCAATTTTTATAATAATTTAATTTAAGTTTAATAGCGAATCACTTTATTTTTGACTTAACAATATAATTTTTATAAAGATAGTGATTCTATTAGAACTCAATGATTATCTTAATTATATTTTAAATTTTTTTATATTTAAAATGAAATTTGTATCTTTTATTTGATTATATTTATCTACGGTTAGTTATAAGAATTCAAAAATGGAGCTTTAATAAGTTGTACTTACGCATAATTTACTTGCAATCTTAAAATTTAAGTAATATGCATTAATACTCAATATTTCATGCATAAAGAATAGTTTTTATCAAATGCTTTATAATATAGTTGTTCATGTTAAAGGTAGATTTTTTTAGTGTTAACATGTGTGGACTAGTCCAAGACTAACCTTTATTATGTTCAGCAGTAGACCCATGATTTTTGTCGAATGGGTGTATCTTTAAGTGGATCAAATGTCTATAAAATCGTCCGATGTGATTTTAGCTAAATTCTACCGTTTTGAGGGGTCTTTTCTGAAGTTTTTTTTTTTTTTTTCGTTCAGGGCTTCATAGGTCTGCCGTTGGATATACTAATTGGTAAAGGAGATAAAAGTTTAAACAAGAATTATAAACATTTTAAGAACATGAGAATCGACTATTTTTCATGTATTATTAATAATAAATAATCATAAAATATATATTTATTATTATAAACAAAATTTCATCATGAACATGTAATCTAGTTGTGGTATTTTCTTTACATTTTGAGGAATGTTATTTGCTCCAATTTTTATATCAAAATTAAGTCAATTTATTTATTAATAATGTAAAAGGCAAATGTTGATATACGTGAGGAAGAAATTTATTAGTAGGAATGCATTTAGCAATATATAAGGATGTATTCAGAGTTCAGCCTATCTCATTGCTAAAATGCACCTATACCTCTACTTTCTTTCTCTCACATGTAATAAGGAGCCGTTTACCTAAATGCTTACCCGGTAAGCGTTTAATGTTAGGAGTCAACAATATAATTTATTTTACTGTGTATGATTGTAGTACATTAAAGTGGTATCGTATGCAATAATTTACCCGATAAACACTTATCCGGGTAAGAGTTGTTACCTTCATTTACCGAGTAAGACTCCATTTTTATCATTGCTCTTACATGATAAGATTTTTGACCCTTATCATGTTCATCCGGTAAAAAAAATTACCAGATAAGTGTTTAATAAACGGCCCCTAAGACTTACTTTTCACGTTACCCATTTTAAATCG